GTTTCAGCCAACAGTGTCTAAACAGAGTCATCCACCTTCATTTGACATTTTGCTGTCATCATGTTATTCATAAATACACACGAGTACCCTGAATATCTTTTTCACTGCTGTAAATTTCCTCTTGGAAGTAGAATGACGACACTGTCATTGCAGCAGCAGACCAGTAGATGGCCGAACGCAGAAAGACACAAATAACTGCAGTAAAAGTCTTTACAACTAACTGTACAGAACTACGAAGAAAACTGGTAATAGAAGGTTATGGCGAGAGCTATTTAAAACAAAGTTTGTAATGGTCTTAAGAGTATTTTTAAGTTTTACAAAGAATCAAAATCTCCATCATACTGTTAGAAGTATCTATTTGGTATAACCTTCCCTGAGGGCAATTTACCCAATTCCAAAGTATTTAAAATATGCTTATTCTTTGATTAAACTATTAAAGCATAAGTATATGTAGCAATCCCAAGACATTTAAAATGAGCTACTAGTAAAAGATTCATCTACAGCAGCGGTTCATGGTGGAGGCTACTGGGAAGTGAACGTAGGAGGCTTGTTATTGTCACAACTGGAGGGGAAAGGTTGCTACAGGCATCTGGTGGGTGAAGGCCAGAAATGTCATTAAACATTCTACAATGCAGCTCTTTGGCCCTTTGAGTGTGGCTCTTCCACAAAAGACCACCGCCTGGGAGAGTCTATTTTGAAGAAGTGGCCTTAGGAGAAGTTTAAGTTTGAAAAATTTGGCTCTCAAAAGAAACTTCAATCGTTATACTGTTGATATTTGGCACTGTTGACTAATGAGTTTGCCGACCACTGGAGGCAACCCTGGTCGCGACCCACAGGTTGGGAACCACTAGCAGGGTCGCCTAAGACCATTTGAAAACATAGATATTTACATTATGATTCAGTAGCAAAATTACAGTTAAGAAGTAGCAAAGGAAATAATTTTATGACTGGGGGTCACCACAACATGGGGAACTGTATTACTAAAGGGTCGCGGCATTAGAAAGATTGAGAACCGCTGCTCTAGAAGTATGTATCTCATGGTACTGTTTACAAAAGAGAAAAATTTTAAAATACCCTAAATGTCTAAAAATAGGGGACTAGTTCAATAAGTTATGATGAACCATACATATAGTTCAGTCATTAAAGGGGATGTTGTAGAAGTATGTTTATTGTAACAAAATATTCTGTGAATAAAGCAACTTACCAAATCCTGTATAGACAATAAAGATATGTGTGTATATGTACACACTTGAAGGTATAAACAGTGGTTTACCTCTGACTGGTGGCATTTTCTTCTTTTGTGCGTCCTTTTAAATTCTACTTTTTTCTTTAATGAATATATTATATCCAATATTAAAACATTACATATTACATTAAGATCTGGGGACTATAGCAGCTGCTAACTTTCAAGAGAAAAATACACCAAAATATTTGAAACTACTTATCAACTTAAAAATAGTGGGGTTTTCATTACATTTGTTCATATTATCTTAACCAGCTGTTTCCTTAGTTCCAGTCACATCCACAATTTTTCCCATGCATTCCTGGCCACATTCTGCCTTTGTCTATACTGAAATGCTTTTTCTACGGTCAGGGAAGTTAATTTGTTCACCATTTCCTCAAGTGCTTAAAGGGGAATGCAAACCTAAGGATAGATAGATATTTGTTATTGGAACAAATCACCAATGTCCTCCTCCATCATTGAATTTCTGGTTGTCCTTTGAGCATTGGTAAGAATGCTGCTGTAAGCTGAGAAAATATGCATTCACCTTCAGTACTGTGCAGCGGTGGTTGGTCACATCCCAGGGAGCTTAGGCAATTGCACTTTTGTTTGCTGATGACTATATGCTGCTAAGCTAAATCCCTAAATTATGAAGTCTCATTTTGGTTACAGCCAATACAGTAAGAAAGCAGGTGTTTTTTTTTTGTTTGTTTGTTTGTTTCTCTGGAAATTCTATTATTTATAGCCAATGGATGACATTTTAGAATAACTCCACTGGACAATATCCAATTTTCACATGTAAATGAATTGTTAAATGGCAGCAAAATCTTGTATATATATATATTCCCTGTAAGCCAAAGAAAGCCAGTTTTCACCAAATAAGTAAATCAATACTATGATTTTATAAGCATTTCAAATATAATTTCCTCCCAAGGAACCGGAGAGAAAGGTTCAAGAAATAGTCCTAATCGGAGGGGTCAGAGCTCTATTATTCACTGATTTCTTGTCTGAGCAAATACCGTATTTTTCGGACCATAAGACGCTCCGGACCATAAGACGCACCAGTTTTTAGAGAAGGGAAATGAAGAAAAAAAGATTCTGAAACAAATAGTGTCCTAAAATATTTTATGTGCATTAAAACCCAACATCACAGTCATAAACACATGTAATCAACCCTGTAAAGTAAACAGCAGCATTTAGAACCATTTTAGAGCCGGGCAAGCACACAGAGACCACATAGAACCGGGCAAGTAAAAAAACTTTTTTTTTTAAGTATATGTGTAGGCTATATTTGGACCATAAGACGCAGGGACTTTTTCCCCCACTTCTGGGGGAAAAAAAGTGCGTCTTATGGTCCGAAAAATATGGTACTTCTTTTGCACTCAGAGTTTCACATGTAAAATAATGAGATTATTTACCCTTCCTTCTGCCCTGTATGTCATTCTATTTAAACAGCCCTTCATATTTAGGAACAGTAAAACCTCGATATAAGAGCCTAATTCGGGCCAGGAGGAGTCCGTTAAACCCCAAAGTCCATTATGTAATAAAGTAGATTTTCCGAATGGGTATGTTACAAATGGACAAATGAGTTAGTTTACCTGTTTTTACTTACATAGGCGCGTTTATGTCATTAGAATTGTGTATAAAAAGCTTAATTTCACAGAAAGGCTTTCTATATGTATTACTGTAATTTTAAGTTTATACTGAACAGGTGTAGTAAATGTGTGAATCCACCAGCCACCACGAGTAAACAAATGCACAAACTGGCACGTGGCTGAGCACAGCCAGCGGGAACATGGAACAGGCCCACGTTACAACTGCTGCAGAAAGGCCACAACAGAACCAATACCGAGCGACCACGTGCTAACTGTTCGCTGGATATTGTTTATAAGCCACAACTCTTGGATATAAGTATGTAGACTATAGTTGTAGAGAGGTAATATTCACGCCGGTGAAATTACTACAATGGTTTTTCCAATACATGGCCTTTTGCTAAAATGTGTTAGAAATAATAGTGAATTAATAACAAAAAAAAATAACCTGTTAATTTAATTATAAGCAAATCTTGGTTAAAAACATTTTAAAATTAATAGGGTGTTAATTTTCACATATGACATAGGGATAGGAAATTTTGTCCATTAGTCTGTTAAATTGAGATCCACAAAATCGAGGGCTTACTGTATATGTGTACCCACTACACTCCTGGCCGCCTAGGTCAGTTGATTACTCTTGCTTTTTCCACACTTGATTATGAATAGAGTAGAGGCCCGGTGCACAAATTCATGCATAGGTGGGATCTGGCCTGCCCGCCCTAATGGGGGCCCAAGGGGCTGGCTGGCTGGGGAGGAGGAGGCTGGGCAGCTGGCCGGCCCCATCCTCAATCCAGGCCCAGATCAGGCTGGTGGGCTGCCTCAGTGTGTGTCATAGCCACAGGTGGTTCTGGTAGCTCTGCCAGTCCAGTTGCTGGGCTTTTATATATATAGATGCTCAGTATTAAGGTGATCTTGAAGGGTCCTATCCAACATTATAACATGTCTTAGAATCAGGTAGAAGTCAGCATCTCCAGATATACAACCTGCTCCAGGGAAAATCCCTCATTTTCCTGGAAGGGGAGAACCCAAGATACAGTGGTTTCTAGAAACAGATGTAGATGCTTACAGAGGTCTAGGAGGCCAAAGGATATTTCAGGCTATGAAAAATAACTACCTATTAATTTTGAGAAAAAAAATAGCATGCCCAGATTATCGGAAGCATTTTTTCTAATCCCCAGGTGAGTTAAACTCAGAAAATTTACCCACGTACTCAGAGAACGAGTGACTCGGTTTGTGTGGGAAGCACATTTTGCACTGTAAAAAACCACAGGAGTTGCTTCGCCGGAGCTAAGTTCTCCTGAAAGAAGTTTCTCAGGTTTTAGGGCTGGTCGCCTTTTCCCTGTCCTGGTACTGCGATGGCGCTGGCCCTGGCGAGGCTGGGGAACGGGAGAGCCATCTTCAGGGGCTCTAACTCCGCCAGGCCGACAGGGGGCGCCCGAGGCCGCGCTTTTCCCGCCAACCCCCCCTTCCCCCGGCTTGTGCAGCCGCCTCCAGCACTAAAAGGGGCTATTCCTCTTCCGGGGCAGCGCGGGACCCGGAAGCAGACGCGAGCACGGCTATATAAGCGCCGCGCGGGTTGCACGCCTTCCTCTTGGAGGAAGACGCGGTTGCCGCAGCGCAGCTCCGTCCCGCCCGCCCGCTCCTGACTCACCGCTGTTCGCTCTCGCCGAGGAACAAGTCGGTCAGGAAGCCGCGCCGCAGCCATGGTGAGGCGGAGGGCGGCGCCGCGCGGTGGCGGCGGCCGCGGGGCCCGGGCCCGCGCCTCGCGCTCCGCCGGGGACGGAAGCCGGGCTGGGGGGAGGCGGTGAGTAGCCGAGACTCACTAATGCGGGGGCCCCGGCATGGCGGAGGAGCCCGGGGAGCTGGTGGTAAAAAAAAAAAAAATGCTTTAAAAAAGTTTTATTTTTTTGGCGTTTTTATCACCTGCTCCATAGGCTTTTAAAGACACCGGGAAGACGCCCGTGGAACCCGAGGTGGCGATTCACCGCATTCGGATCACGCTGACCAGCCGCAACGTCAAGTCCTTGGAGAAGGGTCAGTGGCTCCTCCGGGGGGCGGGAGGCCTCGGGGCCGAAAGGGCCTGGAGGTTGGTTTGTTTTGGGCAAGAAGGAAAGGGACACAAGCCGCCCATTTTTGAGAAGACGACAGACTGCGTTTCGTTTCTACTGGGTATTGTGCTCCGTCGCTGGCGATGAGGAGACGATTGCCTGTTGAGTGGCGGTGATAGGTCTGTACGCTATTCTGAGCCAGCACAGCAGCAGGCAACCCGTCCTAAGGCGGCTCGGGTTGTTTTCCGGTGAACTGACCGGGGTGTGTGTGTGCTTCTCCCTCCGCAGTGTGTGCTGACCTGATCAGAGGCGCAAAGGAGAAGAATCTCAAAGTGAAAGGGCCAGTCCGCATGCCGACCAAGGTGAAGTAAACCTAAGGGGGGCTGCGTACGATCGTGGGAGAAGGGCTTGGCTGCCCAAAGTTTCGTTTGCTGGTAGAGAGGGTGGTTCCCATTGAGCATCTGATTTTTAAGAGGCAGTTGGGGGGGGGGGGGGATCTTTACTGCTACAGCTCCAGGGGCCGAGGGGAAAGGGACTCGCTGTTGCGAGTTGGAAGCATCTGAAACCTGTTTATGGGAGGAGGGGTGGTGCCCTGGGAAACTTTTAAGGCGAGTACTTGAGCATCGCTCTCCAGATGTCCCGGGGATGAGCATAAAGCCATAAACGCGTGGTTTCCTCTTTTCCCGTGCAGACGCTGAGAATCACTACGAGGAAGACTCCCTGTGGGGAGGGCTCCAAGACCTGGGATCGCTTTCAGATGAGGATCCACAAGCGGCTCATCGACTTGCACAGCCCTTCGGAGATTGTCAAGCAGATCACTTCCATCAGCATTGAGCCGGGAGTGGAGGTTGAAGTCACCATTGCAGATGCTTAAATCAGGCTTTTTTTTTTAATAAATTGGCTATCTGTTGTTAAGTTTTGTTGACTTTTATTCATGATACTGGCAGATCTTAGGGATATAGGTTTGTAGTGTGAAAGGTTTCTGGCATGATTCTAAATGCACAATGGATGTGATGTGAACTTCCTTCTATATAAAACAATTAGGAATCATGTTATCCTTATTTACAAGAGGACTTCCTCGTTTTAATTCTGGCTAGAGATCTGAGCATATTGGTATAAACAGCTTTGTAAAAGTAGGATTTTTATTTTAAAATTACAGAGACCTATAACAAAACTTTTTTTGGAGTAAGGCATTCTAGTGAGTAATATTTTTTATTTTTGAAAGTATACGGTGCTAAAAATCCATGGAGATGCACAAAACTATAGAGAATAAAATCAGTATGAAGAGTAAAAGGAGCTACTCTGATCTCCTAGCTCATTGGTCGGCAAACTCATTAGTCAACAGAGCCAAAAAACGGTACAATTGAAATTTCTAACGCCACCTCAAAATAGATTCTCCTAGACCCTGGTATTTTTTTGAAAGAGCCACAGTTTGCAGACCACTGACCTAGGCTTTGGTGTCTCTTATGATATGACCTTGGTTATTAGTAGCTGCTGCCCGAACACCCCAATTTGCACGGGAGAGTCCTGGTTTATGTCTGTTAACCTCATGTAAATAATAAAGTCTCCCTTTTGCTCTCAAAAATGCCCTACGTTAGTCCTGGCCAGTGTGGCTCATTTAGATAGACCTGTACACCAAAATGGATTGGTTTCCCTGTGGGCACATACCCAGTTTGGGGGAGGGGGAACTGATGGACGTTTCATATGATCTCTTTAAAATGCCGTAGCTTAAATGCTAAGTAATAGACACTGCACTGTTTGATTCCTTTCTGCTTTTAGTCCTAACTGCTAGCTAGTTAGGATTGTAACAATTTCCAGATGAAGCATTAAAAGCCAATGGTGATTCTTACTGCCGATGTCAAAACTTCTTTTTTTTTTTTTAAATATATTTTTTTGATTTTGTACAGAGAGGAAGGGAGAGAGATAGAAACATCCGATGAGTCATCTATCAGCTGCCTCTTGCACACCCCCTACTGGGGATATGCCCGCAACCTAGGTACATGCCCTTGACCGGAATCGAACCCAGGACCTTTCAGTCCCCAAGCCAACGCTCTATCCATTGAGCCAAACCGGTTTCGGCTGATGTCAAAACTTCTTGTTCCAATCACAGAACTGAGATCACAGGGTATGCCACCATCCCCAAATCTAGAGAATTGATCACAGCCATAGGATACCTGGAACAGAAGCTGGAGTACTGAAACAATCTTTTGACTATTGGAAGTTGCTTGCAAACTAACATGAAAGTGAAAACCAGGGCTATAATCATGATATAGGGCCCTTGCACAGATTTTTCCTCAGGGACCTCACCAGGTAGGTTCCCAGGAGGGTTCCAAAAAGCTCCCTGAGTGAATTGTCTGGGGAAACACTGAGCCTCTTCTCCCTAACAAAGGCCTGACCTCCGAGAGAAAGGACTGAAGAGTCCATTGTGAGACATCCCATCTAAAGAACCCAGCCCTAATTTATCCTTCAGCTTTTCTGTCTCAAGGAAAACCTGTGAAATAGGTCCCGGTTCAATTGCTGGTCAGAGCACATGGCAGGTTGCTGGCTTGATCCCCACCCAGTATGGGGCATTTAGGAGTCAGCCGATCAATGGTTCTTTTGAAATATATATGGGCTTTAACTCACCAATGGCACTGAAAGTCATTGTTTTAAATCTACTCAACGCTAGGGTATATTTTTATAATCACAGTAATGTATAAAATTTCGCAAAATCAGTGAACAATTTCTGAAGTTACAGCAAACACCCAGTGGTGAGTTAAGTTAAAATGGAAATCCTACTTCAATGACTAAATAAGGAAATGTGCTTATTGTCTACAATTTTCAGTTATTTAAAAATCAACAACCATGGACATCTCTCAGAAGATTGAACTAAATCCACCCTCCCTTTGAAACGGGGATGAGGAGGTCTCTGTGGAAACCTCCCTCCCAGGAGAAGGCAGAGCGCGGAAGCCCACGGGCTTTCTATGTTGGCTCTGGATTTGGACATGGGGACCAGGACTTTGCGCCTTCTTTCATAGTGTCTGTTCTCTATAATAAATCCTTTAAGTAGAAGGCGCTTTCTAAGAAAGTGGGAGCTGACGAGAATCCTGTTTTGGAGAATAAAAAGCCCAGGGAGCTGCTGCTGAGAGGGAAGCATCCTTGGGAGCCTTCAGGAAGCAGAGTTCAGGGAGCTGGCCTGGGTCCAAGGTTCAGGAGAGGAGAAAGGGTCCCCAGTGTCACAGCTCGAGGGCTCTGGGTTGCCTGGTGGGAGAGGGCCACATCACATTTCCCTTAGCGGGAGCCCCTCCGGATACCTGGAATATGCCGATTGGATCCCAGCATTTCTCACTTGTAAGTATCCTTAATGCCATCTTCTGAGACATGAAAAACAATCTTTTCTGGGGTGGCTGTTCTATGTCAGACACTGCAAACATCTTCACACACAGGAGTTCACTTTCTTCTGACTGCACCCTGTGGGTGCAGGGCAGCATCCTCAGCCTATAGATGAGGTTTCACTAATGAAATCCGGTGGCAGCTGTGACTTTGCTCTCCACGGACGGCGAGGGTGAGTCCCAGAGCCCACTGGTCCCTGCAGGGGAGGCCTGCCCAGCATGCCCACGGGGCTCTCCCACACACACCCTGATGGCACCTCTCCTGGCTGGACTCCACTGGCACTCTTCTGCTGCCTAGGAGACGAATTTCGTCTTCCTCACTCGGGACCCACTATTCCTCATTTTAGCACAGCCAAAGGCCATTCTCCGCACTCAGCACTCCTAAGATCCCCACCTTCCTCTCAAAGTTCCTGCCTGTGTTTTGTTTTTTTCTATTTTTGTGGCAGTTGAAGGGAAAGGCAGCTCCTCCCATGGTACTTGTCCCCCATGGCGGGAGGGGGGTGGGGGGGCGGGGGGGGGAGGGTGTAGGAGGCGGCCCATCGATATTCTCTCTCATATTGATGTTTTCTCCCTCCTTCCTCTAAACATTCTCTTTCTCTAAAAATCAATTTTAAAATCTTAAAAAAAAACCCACATCAATTAATAAAATGGGGCAAATTGTCAGCAGATATACTATACCCCAGATAGCATCATTTAAATTGGACAGTAAGTTGCTTGAGTTCAGGAAAACTTTTAAGTCCCCAACCTAAGAGAGGTTTTTGTGTGAAAAAAAGAAAAGAAAACTAAGATAAATTATAGCCTGGATAAATGATCAGAAACTTTAAGTTCCCTACCAACTGAATCGTAGTGAAATCTGGAAAAACAAAAGCAAAAACTCATCTTATTTGACAAATAACTTCCTTTTTTACATTTTATTTTCATTGTTGAAAGTATTACAGATCCCTCCCACACCCCCACACCCCCACAACTGACAGATGACTTCTTAATACGAGGCTGCACCTCTTAATCCAAGGTGGGGTGGAAATAATTGCTTTAAGGGTCTATCTTACTATGTCTTTGTGATCAGAGGGGGCAAAAGGACTATTCAAATTACACTAAGGGGGACACATTCTAAGACCCCCAGTAGGTGCCTAGAACTGTGGATAGTAACATACTATGTTTTTCCCTATATATGCATATCTAAGGTGAAGTGTAATTTATAAATTAGGCACAGTAATAAATTAGCAATAACTAATAATAAAATAGTACAGTTATAACAATATACATAAAATAGGGGAATGTTCTCTCCCCTCCCCCCTCTCCAGTAGTTTTTCTATTTTTTAGTCCAAACCTAGGCCTGAATTTGTATAATCACCCCTCACTTACAGTAAATAGATTGGTATCACTCATCTTAAGGGACACCTAGCTGAAGTCTTTGTATAGACTCACTGCTTTCTGGCCCAGCATGTCATTAATAAGAACAGGCGTTCTGTTCATATCTTCCACCCACAAACGTAATGCCCTTTCCATCCTAACTAAACCTGTCACACACCACCGACATAACTTGTGCAGGTTGAGATGTGACAGCAGAAGTAGCGCAGGTTTCTTTTTCCTTCACAGTTTCACAAACACCAAGTTCGTTCTTATTGTAGATCTTAGCAGCCTCAGCATATGATTTCTTTCTTTCTCAAGTTGAGAACGTTCACCCTTTTACGTAAAGGAAGCACTTTGCAGCTTCTCTTTGGCAAAGCCAAATTGCCAGTATCACTGTTCTTGCAGTGTGGGGCCATTCGTAAGTAAAATAAGGGTGATTTGAGAGGTGATAGCTGAGTGACTATCCGGCAGGCAGGGAGT